CCGCCCGCAGCCGAACAGAGCCGGCGGGGCGCGGGGGAGAGGAAGGCTGCGCGGAAGGTGCCTGGGCGGAGGGGGGGGTGAGGATCGTTGGAGCCGTGGCTGCGGGCTGGGGAGAGGGGTGCGCTTGGGAACGGTGGAAGGGCTTACCTCAAGCGCTTCTCCCGCCCCAGGGCCGGGGCTCTGCCCCTCGGGGCCCTCTGGGCTTTTGCCTGCCCGCCGTGAAACCTGGCAAGGAGCAAACCACAAGTAAATAACAACGTGAGGGGGCTGAAGAGGTTATCGAGGCTGGCTTTTGCTAGACAGCTCAGCGTGCTGACTGAGAGCTTGTTGGGCTCTTTTTGGCCCAGAGAAAAGGGATTGCTTATTTGGGTGTGTATAGCTTTTTCTTGGTGTTTTGATTCCATCAAATATTCTCTTTTTTTTTTTTTCAGCAATTAGAACTAATCACACCCTTTCAGCTGTATTTCAACCCTGAATTAATATTTAAACACTTTCAAGTAAGTGTTTTCTAAAGTATGGGAGGTTTTTAGGGAAACTGTTCAGTTTGTAAGTGCTTGTCCTCTCAAAATTGAGTGTTACAAATGACTATGACTTTTCATGTTTAAGTTATATTTTAACAAAGCTAATGAAGCTAGAGTACTGATCACTGTACATTAGCATAGGTCTTAGATTTGTTGACTGTGAAGGAGATTTCAGTTACTTTGTTACTTGCTTTTGTATTTAGACAATAAAAGTAAGCTGTCATGTTTAAGGTCCTTGTATTTGTCTTATTTCCAGGTATGGAGGTTAATCACAAACTACTTATTCTTTGGACCAGTTGGCTTTAATTTTTTATTTAACATGATCTTTTTGTATCCTTCATCAAATTTGTTTTCTTTCCTTGGAAAGCAGAGCTCCGGAGAACAGAGTCCAGAGTACAGGCATGTTGCTATACATGCATATAGGCAAAGGCTCAGTTCTGCTCTACCATGAGGTTTCTGGGGTTTTAGCAATGCCGACTTTGCTGATGTCATGAATGGACATCAACGGGATTTCCTTCATAAGTTGTCAAGAATTTTGCCATTTATTTCTGTGGTGTTAAGACTTTGTTGTACAAGCCAGATCCTTCAGGTTGGTTCCGGCATACTAGGAGAAAATTCCAAGTAACTGTTTTTTCTCCTGGGTCTGCCCTCTCTGCTGAGGCACCCAGAAAGAGCCAATTGATGAAGTAAATTGATGCAAAACTACCACCTAAGCTCGTGTATAATTGAATCCTTTTCCACTTGGATCTTTCTTTAAACTCATTTGCAATCAAATTTTCCTGACCCGTGACTTCAGATACCGTTACTGCCGAATGCTTGAAGAAGGTTCTTTTCGAGGTCGGACAGCAGATTTTGTATTTATGTTCCTTTTTGGAGGACTTTTAATGACTGTATCCTTTTTTTATTCTAAACTGCTTTAGTGAAGCTAAAGATACGTGAATGAGAACTGAAACCATGATGTTACATTTATCTTATTTCTTAGGTTATAATGTATTTTGTTTGTAGTATGAGGAATAATAGTATTTGTTAAAGTAGTTTTGAATGCTTTGTGACTGTTGCTGTTAAATACTGGGCTGGTCTTTTAGGCTTTTTACTGCTTGACAGGATTATGGAAACTAGATTATCAGGTAAAAGGGGACTGCTCCAGTGTGTATTCATGCTCAGACTGTTAAAGAGAAATGCTGTTGCTTCAGTGACTTCACGCTAAATTAAAGGGATAAGTCATTCTGCAGGTACCCTGAATCCTGCTATAAGTGTTGAATTTGATCGACAGTAGGCTTGATCTGCTTCAACCTGGGAAAGCAGAGAGAGTAATTTCATGGAAGATGTAGGATTACGGGTCAAGCTGGAGAATTCTTCTCCTGTTTGACCTCGCAACAATTATTTGGCAAACTGTTTTCTTTAACTACTCCATCACAGCTTTTTGGCCTGTTTGTGAACTTGGTTTTCTTGGGTCAGGCATTCACAATAATGCTTGTGTATGTATGGAGCCGCAGGAATCCCTATGTCCGCATGAACTTTTTTGGTCTTCTCATCTTTCAAGCCCCATTTCTACCCTGGGTATTGATGGGCTTTTCACTGCTTTTGGGGAACTCCATCATTGTGGATCTCCTGGGTAAGGAATTGCAAGAATCACAAGGATTTGTTCCTGCTAGTGTTTTACATGGAACAAAAAACATGGAAAACACAAAGGGCTAAATGTCTCTCACTTAGCATTAGTGTGGTGTAATGGTGCTATGTTTATACCAGACTCTTCTTGGCTTCTGAACACTGTAATGTATTTTGTACTGTGACAAAGGTGAAAAGAGCTTCTGATGCTTTGGCATTTTATTGCTTGGAATCAGCCCAGGTACATAATCTCATTTTGGGCATCAGCCTATTGAAGTAAAATAGATTATATTATTATTTTTACCAACTCTAATAAAGCCGTAACATCAGTATGTTTAATAGTCACAATTCCCGGTATTAATGTCTTGTAGCCTAAGTTAAGCTTTTTGTCTGATGTCAGTGTGCTTTATTGTTTTCCATATTTCTGTATCTCTTATCATATTTTCTGTGACAGAATCAATGGCAGGGGGGCAGTTCCTGAAAACCCCAGTGAAGCATTTGAAAGTTGTAGAGGAGCAGTATTGAAAAATCACCATTTGACTTTTCTTTTGTATACTAGGCATTGCTGTTGGGCATATATATTTTTTCTTAGAGGATGTCTTTCCCAATCAGCCTGGTGGTGGAAGGCTTCTGAGAACACCATCTGTCCTGTAAGTATTGGTGTCTGATTTGGAACGGATATAGAAAAAGTGCTTGCGTGGAAAACTGTTTATAATTCAGTCACATAAACTTCTGGGAAATTAGACAGCTCGAGACAGAACTGTGGTGTGTCTGTACTTGTTCTTTTATTTAACTCATATGTTGCCAAAGGAGAGGGGTGTCTTACAGATGTGTAAGTGGGAACTAACTTCTTGTGAAGAAGGGCTGAAGCGGGTTTGTAACCCTTGATGTCTTTGGTAACATTTTTTAGTCTTTGGTAACATTTTTTAGTCTTTGATAACTGAGTTTTGCCTGTTGGTGGCACCAAAGATGTATGCTTTTACCAAGGTGTGAGGAATAAGTAGAGTCCTGCTGTGTACGAACAGAGTGACTGAGGTATTAAATGTATCTAATATTTTTTTCATCTGTAAATCATCCTCTATTTCACAACTTTGGCAAAAGACTTCAGTGTTTGTACTAGTGAGCGGCGCTACTCCTACTTGGTTTTCTCCTGCGCAGAGGGCTGTAATCATCTATAATGCTGTACAGCAGCCTGGGTGAGCGACGCTTGCCTAAAAGATAGGGCAGTTGAGGCACTGAAAGTTGAGGTCTCTGAGACTCTTAGAATCACCTAGAGCTGAACTGACTCTTTTTTGTTTGATCTAGCCTCCACAAGCCTGAGTAATTAAAGTGTCATATTCGGACCCATGCTTAGGTTACCTGATGGGTCATACCTGTTTGACTGGACAAGTACACTACATTGATAAGTTTATGTCTGTTCAGTGTAGGCTTTGTCTTCAGCAAGTAATTGTACTGAATCACAGAATCACTAGGTGATACTGGGTGATGGCTGCAGGAATGGCTGTCCCAGCACAGCTGTGCTGGTCATTTTTGTAGGCCCACAGTTATCTAACCTGGCATAGCAGCTGAAGGCTGTTTCTGGTGAGAGCTACCTTCATACGAATGCAGCTCTAGACAAATTGAGTGTCCAGTTACACATGTGTGATAAGGATATGTTTGAGATTTCCCACTTTCACAGAGGGTGTGTGCAGGAGGAATCCTAAGGCTGTCAGAGCAATGCATGCTGTCTCAGTAACTCTCTTGCTCTGGAAGAAAAAGTGTCAGCCTGTCTTCAGGCTGCCATTTAAATCCTTTATGTGTCTGTGTTCAGAAAGCTGCTTATGATTTTGTCTAGGTCTAGAATTGTGGATTTTTTTTTTCCCCCAGATGCTTTAATTTTCTTTGATGTCTTAGCTGTAATCCTGTAATACCCCTGGTGTTTTCTTCTTTCCTGTTCT